ATAAGTTCAGTACTAATTTTGATTTTAATCCTAAGTTTTTCTTCTAAGGGTATAAAGTTTTGATTTTTTAAATTTCTTTTATAGATAATATTTTCTTAATATTTCTACTCGGGTTGCTCTCCTTTTATTCTAAAATTCTTTTCTTTGGCAAAAACTATTTTTAGGCAAATTGTAAGCTTCGTTCAACATAATATATTTTTATTTTTCATTTTTTACCTTTCCCTTTCTGCCTACAATTTGCCCTCCAACGCCTAATCACGGCTCATACGAGCTCTTCAGCTAAGGTCACTCAGTAACAAAATAGAAAACAGCAGATACTACGAAGGTTCAAAGCATGTAATATTAATGAGCAAACAAGCATTCCATAAACTTAGTTTTTCCAAAAAGAAAATAAATTTTTAGAATAAAAGAGTTACCCTTTTGAAATATTTAAGGAAAAAGAGAAACTACTCACACTTCATATTAATAAGAAATATACTTACAAAGATTATATTACAAACTCTAAAACTCTGAAAAACTTAATACACTTAGAGGTTTTAAGGAGGGTTAGAAATTTTACAACGCAGAGTGAAGGGGTATTTTTCATTCTGCCTCTTTCATTGACAAGCATACCAATTTATACAATACAAAAGGAAGATAAAAACAAAATTCCAAATCAAAGCTTTACGCCCAAATTTTTCTAATTTTTCCTAAATTCAAAACCTACTCAAGCCTAGACTTAGGCTTACACAAAACAAAGCCTTTGATTTTTTTAATGCAAACTAACTAATATATATTTTTGATACAGTTTTTCTATTATTTAAAATTATGAAAAATAAAACAATAAACATGCACGAAAGTTTTTTTTTTTTTTTTTGGATTACAGGAAAATTCTTTCACTCTCCCGCAGGTCCAAGGCAGCGCCCCTTGAGGAGATCACCAGGGTGTCCTGTTGTCCGTTCCGGGTAAGAGACTATAACCTGGAAGTTTGTCCCGACCTCCCAAGGCAAGCTCCGCTTAAGTCAGGACTCGCACAGCGGGGGAGAATTAAACCTACCCAAGGCAAGCTCCGCTTAAGTCAGGACTCGCACAGCGGGGGAGAATTAAACCTATACCAAGTAGCTGATAAGGCATTCCGAGTAAGAGACTATAACCTGGAAGCTTGTCCCGACCTCCCAAGGCAAGCTCCGTTTAAGTCAGGACTCGCACAGAGCTCCGCTTCAGTCAGGACTCGCACAGCGGGGGAGAATTAAACCCACACTAAGTAGCTGATAAGGCATCTTTGAGGTCAACCTCCTAACCAACTGTGTTACGCCCAGGAGATTGGCCCAACGGGGAGTTGAACCCAGGACCTAGGGGCTTAAACCCCAGGCCCTTACCAGGTTGCCACTCACCCTTGGGTTTTATTGCTGTTTTTTGTCTCTACAACCTTCTTGTTACGTGATATTTGCCAAACTACTACCTAATCGTGTCAGAAGGAAGTGTGATGTCTCAACCACCAGTCACTGTTGCTCGCCAAACTGTCCCAAATAATCCCACCTTATAGATTACCACTTTGAGGCTTAATGGCTGTAACTATTTGTCTTGGTCTCAATCAGAAAAGTTATTTATCAAAAGTAGGGGGAAAATGGGGTATGTGACTGGCAAAGTTGTACAACCAAACACTAATGATCCCCTTTAAGATCAATGGGATACTGAGAATTCCACGGTTATATCTTGGTTTCTCAACTCTATGGAGCCTGAAATCAGTTGTAATCTGTTTGTTCATGGACACGGCAAAGGAGATTTGGGATGCGGCTGCACAAACTTACTCCAATTAGGGAAATTTGGCACAAGTATACGAGTTGAAGTGTCGAATTCACAATACCAAGCGGCGGGATTCTACTGTTGTCACTTTTTTCCACACCCTTCGTGCTTTATGGAAGGAATTGGATAACTTTTTTCTTGATGACCAGAATTGGGTCACTGTCAGACTCTTGCAATGGATAGTACCGCAGATGCATTGAAATTGCAAAAGTTGATTGAGCAAGAATGGATTATTGAGTTTCTTGCGGATTAAATCCACAGTGTGATCAAGTCCAGATTCAAATTTTGGGTAGAGAGCCACTTCCATCATTTTGCCAAAAAAGAGAAAAAAAAAAATTTGGAAAACCCCTGTAAGGCTCTCCAATGAAAAAACAAAAAAATATAGGATGAAAGAGCATTGAAAAATGAGCCTGGGAAGATATTTTTTTTTTTTTTTTGTTTTTAGTGAATATTTTTAAAATTTTAAATATTTTTTTTACTTTTTTAGATGCACCTTACTTAGATGTATCTAAAAAATAAAAAATTTGTAAAAAAATATTTTTAAAGATTAATAAATACATAAAAATACAAAAAAATATACTGAATTCTAGTATTTTTTTTTGTATTTTTGTTATTTAGTGAATTTTTAAAAGGTTTTTTTCAATTTTTTTTTTTATTTTTTGGGTATATTTATGTTAGGTATGTCTAAAAATTAAAAAAATTGTTCAAAATATTAAAAAAATTCAGTAAAAATAAAAAAAATACGAAAAATAAGAAAGTAAAATTTTCTAAAAAGTGTTTTTAAAAAATGATAACCAAGCATAATAAATGTGATTTAAAGAAGTGAATAAGTTCATAAATTGACTTTTTTAATTTATTCCAAAAGAGAACTCAGTAAATATATTCAATAGATGATATTAGTCTAATAAAATAATAAACAGAATATTATAACAATGATAATAATTAATAATATAGACAGAGCAAAAATAGGAGTAGAGCATAATAATTGTGAAAGGCAGAGAGCCATATTATTTTTTTTCTTTCCTCGTGTAAGTACAATTGTAGTGAAGTAATTCTAAAATAAAACACAAGTTTACTCATATCTTAAATATTCACATGAAAGTAGAGTCTAAAGTGAATCTCATACCCATGTAAATGCTTGATTAAAAAAAATTATTAGTTTTATTAGAATCTCTAATATTTTTCTTTCAATGGTAAATTATACTAAAATCCTATGAGGTTTGAATTTAATACAGATCATCCTTTCACATTTGGAAAATTACACTGACCCTCATGTCAGTATAATTATTTTGACGAAGTTAACATTAGGATGAAAAGGACATTTTTGCCCCCTAAACCTTTATATGTAGAAACTAATAAAAAATATATATATATTTTATTCATGTCATTTCACAGAAAATGACAATCACCCGAATTGGTTTTGAATTTTAAAAATAATTATTTGAGTTTCAATTCATAGTTTTAGATTTTTAATATTTTTTAAATATTTTAATCATTTTTTGAAATTTTTTTAGATCTATTAATCTTAATATACTAAAAAATTAAAAAAATGGTACAAAATTTTTAAAAAAATTCATTGAATACAACAAAATGTGAAAATATATTAAATTTTTGTACTTTTATATTTTTTTGGTATTTGGTGAATTTTTTTTAAAATTTTTTCACAAATATTATATTTTTTAAGTGTATTTAGATTAGGTATATCTACAAAAATAAAAATTTTATGTAAAATATTAAAAAATTCACTAAAAATAAAAAAAACTTGAAAAATAAAAAATACAACTTTTTAAAAAGTGGATTTAATTTTCTAGAACCAGACATGAATAATAATACCATTGTTTTTGCAAGTGGAATGGTGTAGTGATTGTTGCGATTGGACCTTTGTTTTTGGTATAATGATAATGGAAAATGCCTCCGACCCCCGGTGCGGTACTGGGGGTCGCATGTGATTGGTGGGAAAAAAAATTGTTATTTTTTATTTTTTTGTTTTCGGCCAATGTGGAGGCGACACCTCACTGGGGATCGTCAGTGGGGGTCGCCCCACTGGGTGTAGGAATCACAGCCCAATGATAATGGATAATGTTAGAGATATTAAATTTTTTACTAAATAAATGATCAAATGTCTCACATGGATGTGTGGTCTGTAATTTTGTGGATCCTACATCTATGTGAAACATTTAATTATTTATTTGATAAAAAATTTAGAATCTATAGCATTTTTTAATAATAATTTTAAATAGAGTATAATAAAGGACTTTTAAGGTCCCAAAAGATAATTCAATCAGTTACATTTTCTTTTACTTTTGTCATTAATATGCTTTAACAAGTCTAACGTCCATTTTACAATAAAATGTTGGGCAAATAACACCAACCGTTCCTATAGTTTGGGACTTGTATCATTTTAGTCCCTGACTTTTGAATTGTGATACATTTGATTATGAATTTTGAATCTTGTTTCAAATAAGAACAATTGAAGATACCACTGTTTAATTTCAAGGGCAAAATCGTCAATTTAATAAAATATAAACTAATTTGACAAAAATAAATGTTAAAAAAATATTTTAAATTTTTTAAAAATTATTTCTATTCACTAAATATAAAATTATGTAAAATTGATCAAAATTAATAAAAATTACATGATTAATTTTTAAAAAATAATTTTACATAATTATCATCCAAACACATAATAAAAATTAATTTAGTAAAAAGAAAAAATAAATGTCTAAAAGAGTTATCAATTTTACATAATTTTATCTTTAGTGGGTAGAAATAATTTTTAAAAATTTAAAAATATTTTTTTAGTATTTATTTTTGTCAAATTAGTTTGTATTTTATCAAATTGACGATTTTACTTTTAAAAAATATAATGATTTATTCAATTGTCTTTATTTGAAACAAGATTCAAGATTCAGGATCAAATGTGTCACAATTAAAAAGTCAAGAACTAAAGTGACATAAGTCTCAAATTATAGGAATTATTATTGTAATTCACCTTAATGTTTTGTAAAATGAAATTATTAACTAGGGGAAAGTAGTTTCAATCACGTCAGGGTTATGAATGTAATTGGGCCAACGTCAGGGGTGTCAGTGTAATTTTACCCTTCTTTCAATAAATCAAAGGCTGCGCTGCGCTACCCTACCCTACCCTACTTTTCAAACCAAATGACTTTGTAAAAGCCGCGTCGTTTATTCCAAAAAAACACAAGTCGTTTTTTTGACAAAAGCGCCACACGACGACGTTTGTGTCGGCATTGCAGGGGCATTATGGTACCCATGTTTCATCCCTGCTGAATCCTTCCTTCACCAACAACGTACTGTGAAGCTCTCTCTCTCTCTCTTCTCTCTCTCACATATCAAACGCTCGCGATTAGCGAAGAGACACTTTCTCATTCTAAGGTTCCTTCTTCGATCTCTCTCTGATTATACTATTTCTCTCTCTCATTCATTCACATTTTGACTTCTCATGTGTTTCGGTCATCGATCTCTACACATTTCATTTCGATTTCGATTTATCAATCTTTTGTCTCTATTTTGAGCACTGATCTAGAAATAGCAATTTCAATTTTAGTTCGATTCTGCAATTTCACCTGGGTTTTCGATTTAGTGCTGTTTATCTTTATTTTAACACTACGAATTTTATTTCGATTCTACGCATTTTACTAGGGTTTCAATGCTGTCTGTCTTTATTGTGACACTGATCTAGAAATACCCAATTCGTATTTTGGTCCTATTCTGCTAAATTTAGTGGCTTTTGATCCAAACTTGTTAGATCCATACAGTAGTTGTATCAATGAAGTCATTTATTACCTCTGTTCGTTACAAATTTCATACTTAATACCATTTGCAACGTCAAATCTGAACCTGCAAGACCATAAATTTGTTCAGATTTACTACATTTAGCGTTTAATTTGGGGGCATAAACCAGATATGGCTTTGATTCGATTGGATGCATCGAAACAGTATTATGCAACGAGCAGTCTTGTAGTTGGTTATGCTCTCTGTTCAAGCTTGCTTGCGGTGATAAACAAGTTAGCCATTACCAAATTCAACTACCCAGGTCTTCTAACTGCATTGCAGTACCTGACTTCAGCTCTAGGAGTGTGGATTTTGGGCAAATTAGGGTTTTTACACCACGATCCTTTCACATATGACAATGTCAAGAAGTTCATGCCTGCGGCAGTTGTGTTCTATCTTGCGATCTTCACGAACACCAATCTACTTCGTCATGCCAATGTCGACACATTTATAGTTTTCCGGTCTTTGACACCCCTTTTGGTTGCTGTTGCCGATACCACATTTAGGAAACAACCTTGCCCCTCGAAGTTTACGTTTTTGTCATTGTTGATTATTTTGGGTGGTGCTGTTGGGTATGTTGCCACTGATTCAGGTTTTACCCTCACTGCGTATTCGTGGGCGTTCGCTTACTTGATCACAATTACCACCGAGATGGTTTATATCAAACACATGGTTATGAATCTTGGATTGAATACTTGGGGTTTTGTGTTTTACAACAATTTGTTGTCTTTGATGATGGCGCCAATCTTTTGGATTCTTACGGGAGAGTATGTTGATGTGTTTGCTGCTGTGGGATCACGGTCTGCAAACTGGTTTGAGTTCGATGCATTTTTCGCGGTGTCACTGTCATGTGTGTTTGGGTTGCTAATTAGTTTCTTTGGATTTGCAGCCAGGAAGGCAATTTCTGCCACAGCATTTACTGTCACCGGTGTGGTTAATAAGTTTCTTACAGTTCTGATCAACGTGTTGATTTGGGATAAGCATGCTGGTCCGATTGGATTGGTTTGCCTCCTCCTCACCATCGCAGGAGGCGTTCTTTATCAGCAGACGGTTACTGGAGCTGGCAGTGCTCCACCACAGCGTGATTCTGCAGCATCTAAGCTGGTGGATAGTGAAAATGATGGTGATGATTATGGAGATAAGGATGATGTGAAGGGTTTCTCTGGTAAAATTTCTGGTGTATAAGCATTTTACTTGTTTTGCCATTTCCAAAGTGGCTAAATAGAATCTTTATTCCTATTGTTAGTGACTTAAACATCTATCGTGTATTAGATGACTTGCTAATATTGTTCTATTGAGTAGTTTGATTTCCTAGTTCTCTTCCTCATTGGTGGTTTATAATTTTGTTTCAGACTTGATATGTCATATAATTTTGGTTCTCATTGGTGGTTTATGGTCTATTCTGGTACATTGCTTTCCTGAAGTAGTAGTAGCTACATCTTTCTTTCAGTATAACAAAAGAATGTAATGACCGCGTAGTTCGTTTGATCTTCGAACTCTGTTATTTATTTCCCTCTTCCCATAGTTGAAGAGAAAAATTGTGTGGTCCAATCAAGTGTCCTTGATTTGCTAATAGGTTTATAATGCCTTGATCTTTAGGTTCCAACCTTCTTGTTATGGTGTTCCAGTTCATTCAAGTAGCCTTCAACCTCATTGCCCTGTTAGCATGTATGCCGTGTTGCAAGGGGTGGAACATGGAGTTTTGTGTAGTGGGGGAAAAACCTTATATAGAAATATTCAGAATTTCTTTTTCCTAATTGACAATAGATGTTTTTTCCTAATGTCAAACCCCTAACATGGACAAAATTTAGCAAATCAACAATTAAACACTCTTTGTTGTCATGTAATACGTTAAAAGAACAATTTGTTACCAAGTTAATTAATAGTAACATGACTATTGTTAAGCCAAGAAAAAATTACACCCTGAAGCAAGGCCATGAAGCTAATCAAATGACAACCCATCAAAATGATGTAAAAAAATAAATTTTAAAATCACAAAGCCATTCAAAAACCAAATGCTGAATAGTTATTTTCATCATAAGACAGAAGATGGATAACTTGCATAGCATATAAAAATGCATATACACCCAAGCACACAATCGTGTAGAAATACCATGTCTTATTTTCGAATTTCAGGAACCCTCGATCAGAAACATGGAAGTACTCTGAAGATGTGAACAGAATTTTACAAAAATGAAATAAGTAAAGCATTAGAACACTAGAAATTATATCTATTTGAAGAAACCTTACCTCTGGGTGGAAACTGAGAACTCAATCTTTCTTCTGTCGCAGCTGACAATGTCAGTCCAACTACGAATTGTCTAGCGGGCTTCTTAAGACACTGGAGCCAATTAAAATGGGTTCCCTGTTTCTTGCCACTGCTTTGTTTTATGAGAGAGAGAGAGAGAGTCCAAATCTCAGTGGCTAGGTAGGGAGCAGAAACGAAGTCGGTGGGCACAAATTTATATAACAGTATTTTTTCACAAGTATAAAACAGTGTAAGCAAATGTTTTTCCAAGTTGAGTGGGGCAATTGCCCCTGCTTGTCCCAATGTAAATCTGCCATTTCTGTTTCTGAATTAAGTATTCTTATAGTGTTGTGGAGCTTTATGTCTAAAAGTTTCCAAATTGAAAAGCATTTTCTGATTTTTCTATAATTCTGTCCCACATTCACCTTAGGCACATGGATCTTATGGGTTGTTCTATCGTAGAAAACCATATTCATCTTAGACATGGTGATCTGATCTTAATGAGGACATATCCAACTCCTTCTGAGACTGATGTGCATGGAAAATTTAACAAGTGATTAGAGGTCTGTTTTATTTAGGGATGTACAATTTTCTTGAAGCTATTAGATTGCTGCTTTACTTTTGCCTAAATGGCTGTGTGCTTAGGATTGTGACAGAACCTGTTATTGATGAATATGCATTTTTCTTAGAGCTGGTGGAGGGTTGTTCCTTCACTCTTACCCGATAGCTGAATTATTGGGATTGAGTCAGAACACACACACACACACACACACTCTCTCTCTCTCTCTCTCCCCCTCCCTCCTTGTAGTCTTCGACCAAAAAACGTAAAATAATAAAAATAATCAAGCCATTGGGGATAAAATAATTGTGTTTGGTGGTTAAACTTATGAGTAAAACAAGATATAAAGATGGTGAGTACAATTAGTGTTTCGGTTATTATATAATTTCAAGACGACAATGGAACTATAATAAGATCATTTATTGACAATGGAATAGTATACAAAGTCAATAGATCTCAATGAATATAATAGGATTTATGGCTTACATAAACTGCTGAGTACAGTTCTAGATCTAGTGCAAGACGAACTACTTTAGGGAGTTTATTGTAACAATTGAATTTGGAATATGGTAAAATAGATCTGGATGGTGAGCAACTCTTTTGATGGGTGTCGCAATGGCTTTATAAATGATGTTTCGATCTATTATTTTAGAGATTTATAATTCTTCTATTTTATTGGATGGAAACAGTGTTTTAAAATGCTCTAGGTGCATCATGGCGCTAATGTCTCCTCTAAGTATAAGGCGCAAGGCGGGGCACGCTCCTCACTAAAGCAAGTAGTAAGTTGTAGAAGATAAGCAAAATTTTAATATTGGCAAAGTTTTTAATATAAGCAAATATTTCTAAAATTTTAAAAATCAAAGAACAAAATTCAACATTCCAAAAACTATAAAAATTGCATTCAACATTCCAAAAAATTCTTTAAAATAACATTCAACCTTCTAAAAATCATGAACATAACATCCAACAAAAGTCATAAACCATCACATTCACATCCAACAAAAACCAATAAAACATCCATACTTCACTCAATACTCTTTTGGTGTTCTGCCATCAATTTATTGCCGTGATTAACTTCTTTTTTAAGATAAGGAAGTTGCATCATATGATAACTTGGTGGTTTTAAATCGGAACCAAATTGCCCAATAATTTCAATCATTACCCCAAAACTGTTATAATTCACTACATTAAAAGGAATCACAATGTTATATATCCATCTTGCGATCCCAATGTTTTTACTCAATGCCTTTTTTTTTTTTTTTAAATAATTATTGTGAAAATTGATGCTCAAAGGACGTGTTTGCATTGCATTTTATATTAAAGGGGTTTTGATTCCTTATAGCTATACACCCAAAGAATAAGGCTGCAGCAAGAATTTAAAGGAAGCGCATAAGGCGTTTCCTATAGCGCTTCTCCCCAAGCTGTCCGAGGCTCCTCAAACCTAAGCCCGTGCTTAGGTGCGCCTTTTAAAGGCTGGATGGAAATGCAATGAATTATATCTCTAAGAATCAAAAGTCCTAGCTTCCAATAGAAAATAAATCATTTAAAACTCAAATTTATGGTCCATCCTGTTTTGATAGTTGGACTGTGGAATGTCTTTGTTTCTGTATTTTCAGAATATAAGTGTGTGACTTGTTATAATTGATCCGATTGATGTACAGAGAATGGGTATGCCATCTTGATAGAGATTGTTCTACTTCGTCAGATATTTACTCTAGTACTATGTTATACGGACTCTTTAGAATAAATCAAATACTCTTGTTGGACACCTGACACTCGGATAAGAGTATGAGATATATGTCGGATACTTTCCAATAGACATTTCTTATATAATTGTATATAACACTATTATTATATGTACATATTGTTATATAATTACAAGAAATGTCTTTTTGATATTGTTATATATAATATCATTTTATCTCACATACTTGATTAAAAATATAAAAATATGACATTTTTTTGCCGAGTCCGCGTATCTTTAAAATATAGTTTGATGAGTTTGACCTCTAGATACATACCCGCATCTGACACCCATATCCGAGTCCATGTAACATAGCTCTAGGGGTGCAACTTGGGCGGGCTCAACCCGAGCAATCTGAATCTAGCCCTGAATTTTTTTAGGACTTGGACAAGATATTTTCAAATTTGGTACAAGTTTGGACAAAAATTCAAAAGCCCAAATTAAATTTGGACGGACTTGGGCAAAGATATCGAACAATCTGAGCAACCCGATAGCTCTAGTATCTACAACTTGAAATATAAACTTACAAACAAGTGTTGAGTTCATGGTTTGCAGCAGTATTTCACTGAACAATATTAAGATATGCAGCTAAGTTCTGACAGTGAATGCATCACCTCCACGATTTTCTTCTATTTCTGTCTCTCTTGGTTATTAATTTCTGTCAATGTTATTTTTCTTGCATGAAGCCATTTTTCCTCAATGATTTCCTTTCTAATAGATGAATTTGTGTTTCAAATGCACGGAAATCAAAGTTGAAGTTTTCATTTCCATGTAATGTCCAAAGGTTCCCTTAAATGTTCTACCAATATTTTGAAATGTTTGTGTGAATATTTGTTTTAACTGCTATGTTAAGTTATATCACGTAGTCTGGTGAAATTTAAGGGTTACCTATAGAGATCAGAAAGCATAAAATTTTAAACTGTACGGGAGCCTGAACTTGTACTGCATTCTGCAGCCATTGCTAGTGGATTCTTGGGACCAAAGCTGTTCAGAAGAGGCACTACTTAAGTGGTAATAAAAACACTTCTTATTGGTATACCTGGTACATGGAAAAACAAGAACAATAAGAAGAGAAGTATTGTTGCTTTTGAATTTTTATTTACTTTTTGTGAAGAGTATAAATTGTAGTTCATCTCATCTAATCAAACCCAAGGTGAAAGGGGTGGAGTTGGGAACTTCTGATATGCTCTCAGTCCATTGAGCTACATGACTATTGTCAGCAGAAATTATCCAGTCTTCTTGGAGCACCACATGACCGTGTACTCGTCTAATAAAATAATATATTGTAATTTCTCCACCATCTTGTTTTTTGGGCCATGGAAGCATTTAAACGCCTGCTATTGGGGGACAAACAAACAACATGGAATTCTTATAAGACAAGAAAATTACTTTTGCCATGGTTTGAACTTTCAGCCTCTTGTAAGAGTATTGAAGTCATGCCAACTCTGACCTACGGGTCATTTTGCTCTTGCTTTTGATTGGTTGTCTAAGAATATATGAAGAAAATGAATAGTATTTCTCAAACAATATATTATTACTATTTTTATTTGGTTCCCAATAGCTAACAAATGAAATAGCTAGGCTTTCTTGAAATTAAACTCTGCTCATATTCTTTGTACAATAAGTTTTGCATCACTGTTCGGATCAAGCTCTCGGAGTTTTTGAGCTACTTGTCCTACTGCTTCAAGGTTTCCATTGATTCTGTAGGCAACAAGAAGCCCTCTCAAAACAATTTTATCTGGGATCATTGGCATGTTCACCAGCCTCAAGGTTTCTTGAACCATAATATTTGGCACTCGGTTGAATGCCATATACATCAAACATGGAATTCAT